TTATTACTTTTAGACAATGAATTAGACCACTTTGTAACAATTCAGATCACCCTAGTATAGAGTAAATAAGAAATAGGTTTTTATTTTAAGTTATTAATCATAATTTAACTTTGCACTGAGAGAAAATCTTGTATATATGCCGGTTTTAACGAAATTTGTATAATTACATAATTTAATTTTTTAATTACTATTATAATAATTTCAAATATTAAATAATATAGAAATATTGTGAAATTAACAACCCCTGGTTTCTTTTAAATGCTAACAATTATGATTAACAGTTCATATTCTTCATTTTTATAATTTAATACAATTATATTATTATAATATTTATTAATTTATATTAACCTCTACTTTTATTAATATTTATAACACTACAAGACATTTTTATGTGTAAGGTGGGAAATGCAAAGCGGTTTTTTACAACGACAAAGTTAATTTCATTTTTGATTTTCCATTGCTTTTTAATTTAAATATCATTATTTTTTTCATCTATTTCGTATACTAATTAATAATTTCATTAATATTTTATTTATTAAATTAAGTCAAACTACTCTAGAAAGAAAAGATTGTTTCAAACAAAAACATTAATGTAATTATATTCGTTTTTTCACAGTTCATTGTTTTATTTAAGCCACAATTTTTTTTCCTATCAGAAACTGTTCTGTGTCACTTTTAGTTTTCATCCCATTATTACTTTACACTTAAAGTATTACTTATAAGGAGGATATTTTAGTGGAATTCAGTAAGTAATAAATAATAACGAGTAAATAGTAAAAAATATAAATTCCTTTCTATTTTTAATTCATTTTCTCATTATTTGCTTATAAAATCGGGATTAAGATTTTTATTCGTTTAGGACACTATGCATTTTTTTTTATTCTATTGTGTTTTATGTAAGTAAATTTAAAAAGCGTTTCAGAACTATGCGATTTACATACCAATAGTTGCGTTTTTTTCTTCATATTTTAACATTTTTGAGTTATGAGAACATAGGTTAAGTATCTAAATATTTTTACGTTATATTTTGTCTTTTTATCTAAACTTATTTTCGTAATATTTATCGATACGTTAAGGAAAGTTAAGAATGTTTTTTCATAATTATGTTATTAATTGATATTATGTAATTTTTCAAGAACTTCATTTTTTCGTAATTATCCTTTTATTTTTATATTATAAAATAATCAAAATCACAGCCTTGCTTGTCAATATTATACCTTTTCGTATGAAAATATCGGTCTTACACTATAGTATTCTATTTAAATGAATGTTATAAAAAAAATTATTTTTAGAACTATGTTAGTATTATCATTAATTATAAGTTCTTATGTAGTCTGTTGTAAGCTTATTACCTAGTAGTAGTAGTTTATGTAATAATAAACAACCTAACATAATTTTATATTATTTTACAGCAAAATAGCACCCATGAAAGTTTATAGAACAAATAATTTTGTTTTTTACATATCGAACTTTTCAAATTTATTACAAGTGTTTTTATAAATTTTAATTTTTTTTATAGGACCAATATAATATACTTGTTCTAATTAAATGTATTATTCTAGTGTCAGAATTGATTGATTGATATGTGATAATCTATTAATTGTTATTTGATATAATTGGTGTTATTAATCAGTAATTTATCAATTGTTTTATGTTTGCTCTATTACAGTTTTCCATATTTTAATGACGCATTTATTGTATTGAAGAGTGTTTACTAATATATTTATTGATTTGCTATATAATCTTATATAATTGAGACAGACTAGAGTCATTTTCTATATGTTTTGTTTAGAAAAATTATAAAACTCAATTCATTTTTTATGTTAATACAGTATAGTTTAGGACGCAAGTTAATAATTTATAACAAGTTAACAAGTTATAATTAAAATATTAAAATATTTCTTTTGATTCTTATTGATATGTTTATCTTAACCTAGGTATGATAAATATAATCAATTAAATTTTAATAATGTATTAAAAAAAGAGATTATTGAGGGGATTTTGAGTTATACAAGGCATATTCGAAAAGTAAGAACCATTCGCTGATATTTTAAAATTGACAAGTCGTAACACGCTTAAACGTACAGTAAATTATTACTTAATGCTTTTAATTTTTATTATTACAAGCGTTATATTATACTACAGAAATTATTTATAATTATAAAAGAGAAGAGAATAGATTGACAAAGAATTAAAATAAGGAATTCAACAGTATTGATAAAGGATACAGTTCTTTGTTCTTCGCCTTTCACCCTTGTCTTAAACCTCCACTAGTCCACTAGTCACGATTTTTTATATCCCATACGCACACACCAACGGCCGTCATATCATTTTCATATCATTTTTTGAACTTTTTCTTTCAACATTAATTTTCATAAAAATTCTTACTACAATTGTTTCCTCTCGTCTCATCACATTCCCAAACCATCTCAGACTATTTTCTGTCATCTTGTCCGCTATAGACGCTACATCAATACTACCTTTCACATATTCGTTCCTTATGCTATATATTCTATATTATTTTTCTTATTTTAATATTTTTTTATTTTATGACAAATGATACACTTGTATAGATAAAAACGTAGGTATAACTATAGAGGGATCAAATATTGGTGTGTAATTAAAAGTATGGAGTAATCCCCTGAACAATAATGAAGAACACATTCTTAAAAATGTATATATAAACATAATATGTACTTATTTTATTATATACGAATAATAAATACTTGAATGCAATTTGTTTCTTACATGTATATATATAATTTAATTTTAATTAATTTTCACTACTCGAAGCTAATTTGTAAATAGTAATATAAGTTTGTTTATATTATACAGAAACGTTTGATAGTTTGTTCATCATAATTAATTATTATTTAAATTTTAAATTTAAAATATATAGATAAGAATATATGGAAATATGTATTCATGTAGCTTACGGTTTTAATTATTTAATTATTTTTGTCGTAAATAATAAAATATATAAGTTTTCCAATGGGACTATTTAAATATTCATTAATATCTCTGTAAGTTCTCGATTAAAGTTGGTATTATATGTATCTATATATACCTACATTGAAAAATATATTATATTTATACTGTTTTAATAATTTAAGGAGTTATTTATATAATTTTTATAACGAATAAAACATAGACAATAATCTACTTGGTTAAAACTTGAAAAAACAGTTGACTAATGTTACTTGACCATCATATGTAATTAATACGTACAATGCATAAACATATAATTTAAAAATTGAAAAAAATTAAAATAATTTAGCTCGTTATAAATAGATTATATAATTATACATAGGCACAATTATACAATTCATGATGTCTTGAATTCAAGAAGCTCATAATAAATAATTGATGAATTAGTATACAAAATATCAGATTGTTAATTTTTAAAGCATTAAAAAATATATCTTTTATTCTTATAAATTGATTTGCACTTTGAAATTTTATTATTTTTGTTAATTTTATATTCTGAGTGAAACAAGAACTCAATTGTTTTTACCATGATGTTTTCTTTTTTGTGCCTGTGACAACTAGAAGTTTTGCTTTGATCTCATCAAATAGGATGTAAAATGTAGGAAATGAGTTCTAGTTGATATTATAAGATGGTAATTTTACGAATTTATCAATATTTTTCTTAACAATTGCGAAAAAGTAAAAGTATAAAAAAAAAATGGCAAAATTTACTGTACATCGGTTTTGAACAAAATCACTTTTTTGTTTTCATTATAATTAGAAAAAAAATAATCGTAGAGGTTTGAAATTTTTACTGAATGCTTATATGACCGTTCGCTATATTTGGCTTAAATTTCAAAAGATTTTTTCGAGTTATTTATAAATAGTGCAAAATTACTTTGTTACTAATTATTGTAAAAAAATTGTATAAGGTATTAATGATGTTCAATTTAAAAGAAACAATAAAAATCCAATCAATTTTTGTAGTTAATAATTCATAAAATTTACATTTTTTTTTATTTAAGGTTTAAAAATTGGATGTAAAATTTGTTAAAATATTTTCTTTGTACCAAAAACGAAAACAAGTTGCAAACATTTTTTTGACATAATCAGATACGTTTATTCTATTAAGCGATATTAATTATTTTGTTGTTATTCTATAAATATTAATCATATGACTCGAAACAATAAATAATACGTCCATAAAGTGACATCTCAATTTCTGCTTTAGTATTATTTTGAGTAGATTGTAATGTTTTGATTAATTTATGCAGTCCTACGATAGTAGTAGGACCTACCATGATAAATCTACCTACGTACGGGCTACATAAATAAAAATATTCGATAAAGTAATCGAAAATCTAATGATTAACTTTACTTTAACCTAAAAACCCATTCGACCACAAAACATTTCGACCATCCTAATAAAATATTTGACCATTTGTCTTTCGATTAAAAGATGATTTGATCACATGATATTTCAATCATATTTCATCCATCACTAAACCATCGACCAAATGCCTTGTACCGCTATTTCATAATAAAAACAAAATGCATGTGTATCGAAATTAAATCTACATTTTATAAATGTCTCACAATGGTGTGGTAAAAGAAATAAAAATTTTAAATTATTAAAATAATTAATTAAGAAACGAAATGTGATCTTCAACTTTGATAAATGTATTGTATACAGTCTTAATTTTGTTAACTTGTAGGTATATATATATATATATATGTCATTATAAAATGTGCTATACGAGAAAAACCATTCGTTGTCGATATCAGCTTTTAATTAATTATACTTAAAATCAAAACAATTCAATTGTAATCTGTAATAATAAATAAATTAAAATTAGAGCAAGGACATATTTTGTGTATAAAAAATACTACTACTAAATAATAAAACTAATGTGTTAAAATAAACATTGAAAACTTGACAATTTATTTTTCCAATGCACTTAATACACTGATAAAGTGCACCGATATTATAATTCGTAATCATTTCTGGGGAGTTCATTACAGCAGTACCTATATATGAGATAAGTGGTCGCCAAATGTCTGCGATCGCTGGTTCGTTGGTACTGAGTTTACTCGTTTAACTCACGTTGATGAATAGTAATTCCGCTGTATCCGTTCATTATTTTAGTCCGGCGTTACTCTAGTCTTGCACGCGAGACGTACCTATACTATTGTTAAACGCAGATATAGGGCCGCATGCGTTTTAATAGTACATACAATATTTTTTTTAGTTGATTTTTTTTTTTCTATTTTTATTCCATAAATTAATATATATTAAATAAATAATTAAAAATGTCTACAAGTAATAACCAAACGGATCAGAAAAAAGAGGATGACCAAAAACGCATAGCCATGCAACTTAACGGAGTATCAGGTACATTAATTATAAATTTGAATTCGTTATTTCTTTACATTATAATGGGCCACGAGTTTTATTTGTATTATTGACGAAAACATTAGAAAAATATGGTGATGATAGTTATACGATATAAAATTATTTATGTTTTATAATATATTATTAGTTTATACTAACAATCTGATTATGACCGATCAATAGTTTATCAAATACAACTATAACTCGGCTTTGTAGTAAATACATTAGTGCTATAATTTTAATGTATATACATTAATTTTATCACATATTAAATTAAATGTAGTGAATTTGTTGTATTATAGTTTTATCTTTTGTACAGATTAAAAAAAAATGATTTTCTTTCTTTTTAATGAAGTAATAATATGCTTATTTGAATTTATTTCTTAGGTGTGTATAATTTATTGAATGGTTTTGAATAATACTTTTTATATGTTAACCGCAATAATCATAATTTTACAATATTGAAATAACTATAAGATTTTCTATTCTCAAAATAACATTTTATACGATTTCTAGCAACGTTATAGTATTATATATATATATATATATATATTATTTTAATATCTTGTTTTATATTGTTTAAAATACCACTAAAAACTACTATATTGCTCATAAAGTACCATGAATGTTGTACTCTTATTACCTAAACGTATGTATTGTTGACTGATCTTTTTTTTTTATGTTTTTCTGGTTTCTCGTATATATTAGATAAAATACCACCAGTATTGCTCAAAACAACATACAACAGTTTAATTAATTTTTTTATATCATATAACTCGTTGTTTAAAAAAGTTTAAATAAAAATCATTCATCTATCACATTAGTATTGTTGACAAAACTATTATTACATGCTGTCAATCGTGGGACGTTCAGTTTATAACGAAAACCATATAATATTGCTAACGAAAATCATTTTACCAAGTTTTAATAATATACTTCTGTCATCAATCCATGAAACAAATACATAATTAAGAAAAAAATATGGACATATGTAAAAAATTGCACGTGTAAACGATCCTCTATGCAAATAAGCTTTTTACTCGTTTTATAATATGTTAATCGACAGACAAGTGTTAATAATAACACATATTGTAGGTAGTGTATCTACGTCACACAAAAGCATATAATCTAAAAAAAATATGATCATCATTTTGAGTTATAAAGTAACGTTGCAAGTGTACTAAATGATATGGAACAATGTCCACTATATAAAAAAATTATCAACGCGTAAAAGTATAAGAAATTGCACTTTAGTAGTTATGTTTTTCTTATAAATTTAATAAACAGATTAAAAAAACAATAACCAATTATTAAAATTATTAAAAAAGGCTTCTTCATATTTTTTTCCAAATTTTTTCACTGACATTCATTGTGTATATTTCATATTATTGAATTATTGTCTAGCTATAAAAATCAATAAATATAATTTAGAAGGATGGCGTAATCATTCATATTAATATAAAGACAAATTTTTATTAAACATGAATATGATTAATCGTTTCTTATATTAATATTAATATAACGCGATATTATGTAAATCTATTTGTACGTAATTTAATTTAAATCGTTTAAGATGCAAAAGAGACAGACTCATAGTACAAACGATCGTCTTCTCGGATCAGAAACGTTCAATGTCGCATGCTTACAGTCTACTTATGTTAACTGCAGAACAAAGGTCTTACTACGACACCATAAGTTGTTGTTGGTTTCACCAACAGATGTATACAATGCATATATTATTCATGTAGAAAATGATTTGTATAGTGTATGTTTTAATTATTTCAATATTTACTTATAAATACTGAAAAATACTTAAATATAAATAAAGTGATTATGATAATGTTGGTATAATTTAATATACTTATCAATCGTTATGTTAAATTTTCACTTATTCAGAAAATAATTATATTTATAATGAATCTCTTTACCGTTATCGATTGATTTTGTAAATAAGTAAATTTGTATATTTATTTTATTTTTATTTTAGCTTATTTTATAATATAACGTATGGCACATACAAACGTGAGAGTGATAATAAAAGATAACATAATTTAAAATATAATAGTGATATAAGAGTGATATTGAAAATATGATTGTTTAAAATAAATTAAATATATTTTCAAAGCTATTTATTTATAATTTATTGTGTAATCTAAATTTATATAGACTTATTATTTAAACACACATATTTAATTATTGAAGATATTTAAACAAGTGAAAATATACGTGCCGCTGCGAAGAAAAAATGAAAAGAAGTTTTAATGCTTAAAAATGTTTTATAGAAAACGCGTTTATCACGATGTTAATATATGTATTAATATACGCACAATATTATAGTACTGAACGGTTTACTAAAGACTAAAAGTTAAATAAATTATTATATTGACTTTAAACTGCGTTGTAAGCCAAAATGTTTTCAATACATTATGCATAATTATTAATTATTAATTACATATCGAATCAAAATTAGTATGTCTATTATAGGTTTAATTATTGTTTTATCATACATAATAAGAAATTGTATTAACATTGTATTAACCGTATTTTTATGTATGTTTAATATGTGTAACAAATAAATTGAGGGATTCGCAATTTTTTTAATGAATCACAGTGGTCATATGAAACATCTAAAAAGTTTGGAAACCTTTAATGTACTGTGGGGATCACATATAATCCATAATGACACGTAACGTCTTTTTTAACTAAATTAATGACTAAAATTTAATATTAATTTAATTTAATTAATATCTAATTTACCATCGTATATACTCATAAAAGTTATTGGTTATTATTATCTTTAAGCGTTATACATTATAATACGATATAAATACTATGCCTTACACTGACTTAGGGCTTCCAAATTTTTTTGCACGAAACACGCTGTATATATAACAAAGGAAATGACCTATTTGCCTGTATTATGTCTGTTGCGTATTGTTTACACTAACTAATGATATATATATAAATATATCGTGATCGGTCAGTTGGTTTTACACTCATATTTGTTGCAGTACATGTGAAGCCACTTAAGATTCAATACTCCCCCGATTTTATTGTTTACACATTTCCCTCCGTATACGATTATGTAACAATATGAACACATTAAATCTTATTACTATGGTAGCCCTTGTACAACTGAAGTTCTTGAAAAAAGAACCGCAACAAACAACAATTATCCATGCAAAGGAAAATATTATCTTAAATAACTTATTTGATAACGTGTTCTGTATTTGACTTCTACAAACGGCTTTTAACGTACTAAACGCTACTACTATGTTATTATAATCATTATAGATTAAAGTGTATTGGACAGGTACTAGTTTATGATATAATTATTGAACGTCATAAAATATAGGTGCATCAAAGTTCATGAAAATGATATTAATTTTTTTTTTTTTTTGTAATTATTACACCACGATGATAACTTTACTAATAATCAAACGAAACAAAACATTATTCATGTTATTAGTGTTTACTTTTGTTTTAATTTGATAGTGGTTTATCACGGAGATATAATGTTAAATTTCGAAAAGAGAGATATTGTATCTTTACTGTGATATAATTTACACATGTTGATGCCGCATCTGATATCTGCTTTACTCGATAGTTTTACAATATTAATTTGAATTTAAATCAATAAATTAAATTCAATAATTTATGATTATTTCATAACAACATGTAGCACGACGACAATACACAGCTGCATTTTTATTATATTATACATTGGGTGCATAGTTAATTTTTTCAAATATCTATCTTACATTATGCAGTGAGTCGTCTTTAAATAGTTTATTAAATAATCCTATAACAGTATGTGTACAATCCCACATCCATTACTTTACACAATGTGTATGTCTTCGACATTAATCTAAGGCTAACATACGTAATATAATATGGTAACATACGTATAATTGGTACGATACTGACACGACACACGCGAGCATATTATTCATAATACAAACGTATTTTAATTTTCTAACAATTCCAGGAAAATTAAACAAACACCAGTGATGTATATTATGGCATACTGACACATATAACATTAAACATAGTTCTCCCTGGTGTCTTACGACGTTTACACTAGTTTAAACTAGTTTACACTAGTAATACACACAAATCACGTTCACTTATTTTTCGAACATTTATCCACACAGAATAATATTGTGTTTAAAACAGTATATTATTAATGATTTTTACGCTTGAGCTGAAAACAATATTTAACAATACGTAGTAACGCGTTATTTTAACATAATTCTTTGGTTTAAAATTTAACCTAATCAAATGACAACGATGATGAGTATGTGAAAGTTAGCATTGGTAGTATACGAAACGAGAGGAAATACAAGCAGTAAGAGTGGTTATGAAAATGAACGTTGCAGGGATAAGAGGAAAAAAAGACCAAAAAAGAGATGGTTGGATACGATTGAAAATTATATGAGGGTTGTTGGTGTGTACGTAGGGCATGTAAAAAATCGAAACAAGTGGAAATTTAGAACAAAGGTGGCCGACCCCAAATACTTGTGAGAAAGGCGAAGGAGAAGAAGGATGAAAATGATAATGATTCGCAGCTATGACTCTACCATGGGAAATATTTAATGTAGTTTTGAACTAAGAAAATTAATGTTCTTCCACTACGTTCTGTTAAATATTGATATGTAGTGGATTTAGCAAATCAGTAGCGGGGTGAACTTTTTTTACTCCATGGAGCTATTTTAAAGTCCGGTTGGTTTTGTTAACATACTACAAAAATTAAATAAATAGTTCATGTATTAAATTTTTGTTATTAAATATTTGTTTTGTATAAATAAATGTACTAATAAATTACAAACATTGAACGCGTTCGCTTATAATTATATAAGTACTCGTGGCGTGATTGAGTTAAAATACTAACAAATTTTACGATATAATATTTTTGGATTAATGTAACGTATATTTATGAATTGAATATTATGAATCTGCTTACTACCGAACAGTTATTATTATTATTATTATTATATTTA